TCAAGCAGGGATCCAGATTAGTCTCAACTCAAAAAAAAAAAAAAAAGGAAAAAGGCCATGACCCGTAAGATGAGAGGAACAAATGTGGGTCCAAAATTTCTTTACGTCCTTGGCCCACATGTCTTTTTAGACTCTTTTTTTTTTTTAAGAATGATAAAGAGATTTTAAAATTATTGATTAATTTAAGTTAAATTTTAAGTGTTAAATTTTAAAAATTTATAACTCAATTTTTTAAATTTTTAATTATATTTTAATAAATTTATAACTTATTTTAAAAATTTTAATATAATTGAAGAATAAAAAAATTATTTGTTCCTGTTAAAATTTAAAATACAAATTATAAAATTAAAAGATTAAATTGTAAACTTATGAAATTTAACACTTGAGATTTAATTTAAATTAATTGATTGTTTGAAAACATTTCTGTCATTCTACCCCCCTTTTTTCCACCAATTGCAAATCAGTGTAGATTTAGTGAACTACAGTGTTCTTCCACGGTAATTTTACAGAGGAGGGAGATAAATAAGTATTGAATTATGTTACACGGACTTAAAAGTAAGTAGACTTCATACCCATGTGATGTACCGGAGAATTAAGACAGGAATATTAACAATTAAGAGAATACAGATATTGATTAATTTTTAATATTAAAATTAATATTAAATATTAAAGTCCATAATCATACTATAAAAAAAGTATTTAGAAGGTATGCATAGAATTATCCAATCTAAATTATTATAAACTTGTAGCTATAACATAAAAGAATAATTAAATATTTTTTTTTGAATTGAGAATGATTTTAGTGGGTAGAAAATGGAAATAAATAACATGTTTTATATAAAAAAATTGTTAATATCTCTAATGCATTGTAGAACATCAGTACATTAAAAAATATTTTTTTAAATTATAATAATCAAAAGTTACCCTAAGACATACTCTAATTTTATTTTATTTTAGAATACAATTTTGAACTGCAGTGCTGCACTCAACGCCCTTTGCAAACTATAATAAAATAAAAAAAAAATTAATCAATTAATTTTGAATAAATTAGCTCGATGGCCTCAAAAAATACAGTTTTTATAAATTATGGATAGAATTTTTAAATATTTTAACATATGACTCATTCATAAAATTAATTAAAAGTGATTTTTCTTTTTTATTCTCAGAATAAATATATTATTAAAATACAATATATCTCTTGTAACTCATCTTTCATTGATTGAATTATATGTTTACAATTGTTCTTTCACCGTAGAGGAGGGAAGTCTCATGTGCTAGTGTTTTTCTTCTTTCTTCCTTTCTGTTTTTCTCAAGTATATTATGAAATTGAAATTTGATAATAAAGACTACACTCCATCATTAGATTCTACATTTTACATTGTGTAGTTCAAAATTCAATTTAAAGTTCTCCTGTATTCTATTTTCTGGAAGCTAAAGAGTATTATCTATTATCAAATTTTCATTATCTTTATTTATCTAGGTGATATATTTGCTAAATCAATAAATCATTTGTTCATAATCTATTATATGTTGTTATTGATCATGATAGAAAATACATATTATTCTCTCATTGTTCATGATTTTTATTTTATTATTTTAGGTATTTGATTTTTTATGATAAGTTAAGGTGTCTAGAATTTTTTACCAACTTAGTTTGATCTGTTTTGGACAAATAATTATTATTTTTAACTTACGATAGTATATCAATGATATACAATATACTCTTACATACCAATATAACTAAAAAATTAGACACAAACTTGTTTATCATTAATATATGACTGTATATCAATGATGTAATATTACATATTAATAACATGAAAACACATAATCATTTATCTAAAACAGATTAAACACAGACTATAAAAAATTCTGTAGCTCTATTTTTCTATTGGTGTGCCTCGTTTCATCTAGTATTGTCAATGTCTTTGGCCTTACGTTTGTCTTTTGTTGTTGTGACTGTGGCTCACTCGCACTGTTTTGCTTTCTTCTATCTTTGAGTTTGATTTACTTGTTTATTTTGTCGTGATTGTAGTTCACGTTCGTCTCTCTCGTTCACCTGATTTTTTATATTTTGAGTCTATTCTAGTATAATGGTATTTATAAAAAACACAGTGTTATAGCTTCAAAAGGATAGTTTTGTAATTATATATCAACTAAATTTTAAAAAATGACATTTTTAAAATTTAAAAAAAGAAAGGCTATTTCTTTTACATAGTCTTATAATATGTGCTATATGTGCAAAATCTCCTTTAATTTTTATAATTTTAATTTAATTATAATTTTAATTTTTAAACTTTAATTTATTATAATTTAATCTTTGAAATTTTGATTAGGTTATAATTTAATTTTTTAAATTTTGATTCTTGTTAATCAATTCTTATATTTTTAATCATTTAAATATTAATTTCTATATCTTAAAAAAATATAATTATAATGATTAAAATTATGTTAAAATTTATTATTAATATTTTAAGTTATTAAATTCTCTTAATCTTTATAAATATTATAAATATTAAAATATTTTTTATTTAATTTTATTTTTTAAAATATATAAATTAATATTTAAATAATTAAAATTATAAAAATTAACTTGCAAAAGATAAGATTTAGGATTGAATTAAAATTATAAAAATTATATTATGGAATATAAACTATAAAAATTGAGTTATAATTTAATTAAAATTATAAAAATTAAATGATTAATTTTTTAATATAATTATAATAATAATAATATAAAAAAAGATATAAAGATAAAGATATTCTCTCATTTTTTAATAAACAAATTAATAAAACAGTGTGACTACTGAGGATTGGTCACTGTAACCGTCCCAAATTCGGTTCACGTTCGCACTAATCAAACGATTCCAATGCCCCTAGCCAGAACGAAGTCCTCACCATCACCGGCTTTGATTTTACTTTGCCCAGACCGCACTATCCCTCTTTCAATAGCGTTCCACTCGCTGCCTCGCGGGAAAACATGAGCTTGTCGGCTGCGATCCATCAGCGAGCTAATAGCAGGAGCTATTTGCGAGATTAGAGTCGCTTTGGATCTGGCTTCATGGCAATTAGATTACGATTAAGGGATTCAGGGTCACTGTCTTCTTTACAAGGTTTGTTTTGATTTGTTGTTAAGTTAGGTCAAGGAATTTGAATATCTAAAGAATAAAGATTGATGGATAATTAAACACGTGAAGACTCTAATATGTTTGTTAATAATTACCACTTCCAAAGGAGGGTGGGGGGAAGCTGATCGGTCTAAAAGAAATCTTCTCTCATTTGACAGTGTTTATTTTATTATTATTATTTTTAATTTAAAGCACCTATTTGCTTTGTGCCTATAACAAAGTGAAACGATATTTCTGACTGAGGATACACTGGGAAAAACCAGAAAGTGCTTGTTCTGGTGTTCTCCCATATTTTTGTTTACTGGCTAATAATAAAAGGAATGGATTTAGCGATTAGCGAATTGAGTTAACATGTTCTGGTGCTGAAACTTTCTTGGATACCAGTGATAGAATAGAAGGAAGGGCTTCTTGCCTGGTTTTATTCTTTCAAAAGCTTGAGCTAGTAGAGTGGTTTTATTCAGAATAATATCTTAAAAGAGTTTGGAACTTTGAATTTCTTCCTACCGTCGTGAAAGTTTCAAAGTTGTAAATAGAGAGGCAATTCAGGTTCAGCTCCGCTGCCTCTACATGCTACGGTGGTTGAAAAAAAAAAGTCACTTGTTCTGGTCTAAGATAATATGAAATATAATATGTAATGATATTAATGCCCCCTTTGGTACAAGGGAAAAGTTTTTGATAAAAGTGCAAGTTGAAATGGAAATGGAGGTGGGATGAAAAAAAAAAATGTTTGGTATGATGATGGAGGTTGGATAAAACTTTTATGTAAGTGAGAAGGATGGAATTGAGTTCTCATGGAAGTATGATGGGTTTCTTAGAGAACTGGCTTCCTATGCACCAAACAAGCAAATTTCAGAGTTCCACTTCTACTTCTGTAGTCTCAATTCTAATGTACCAAACAAGGCACTAAGATTTACTTGTTTGATATGTATAACAATCAAAAAATTGCCATTCGAAACTGTACGAAAGATATGTACAATACTCATTTAGACCTTGTCCACTAAATTTCACAGAACTACAAATTCAAGAATGTGAAATTTTCTAATTTAAGATGCTGATGATACAAATAGAGGAGGAAGCCATTTATCTTTGTAGGTATCTTGAACAATCGTAAATATAACTTTGGGAGATCTTTAAAATCTGAAGCTTGTAAACAATGCAGACAGTGTTCCATCTAGTTGCAGAAAAACTAGAAACTCACACATACTGTACAGGGTTATGGAGTATGGTAGCTGTTGAAAACTTGAAATTACTGTCATCCTTATTTTTTTAAGGTAGGTCCAGTACAGAGCATTCAATGTCAAGCAGGGGTTTGCCCAACTTGACATGGCTAGTGGGAGCCAGAATTAAATGAGCTCTTTCAATTGGATTTTTTAAGGAAAAAATATTTGAAACAGTTTTGGCTTATTAACTATTCACGTTTCATATTTACTGGCATTATTAATTACTTATATCCGTACAAAAGTTAATTTTAGTATGGCCAACTAAGTTGGTTAGAGGTAACTGGTAAAGGCATCAAGGAAAAATATTTATTTGAAACATACCAAATTTGCGTAATGACAAAAGTTATAATTATATTCCATTGGTTTCTCAAATGAGTCAACTTTGAGTAATTTAAATTAATAAGATTTCACTTTTTTTTTTTTTGAGAAACGATCAAATTACCATTAAGAAGGAAAAAGAGGAAAAAATAAACTTTTCACTAAATGTCTTTATTTGATTATCCAGAACACTATGTTATTACTCCTGGAATGTTTCTTTTAATAAACATGCTTTTAGAAGAAGGAAAACTACTGATGCAATAAATAATTGTAGTGAAAATGCATACCATCTTAAAAAACAACAACAACAACAACAACAAGCCTTTATCCCACTAGGTGGGGTCGGCTACATGGATTGCAAGACGCCATTGTGCTCTATCACCATCTTAAAAAACCGTAAAATAAAATATTCTCACAACTCCTGCAACTATACTGAAAGGAATTTTTTCAATTTCTTGTCACTCTTAAATCCTTTGCAAGTGTTTTCACTTGAATTCAAAGGAATTTACATTTTTAGATGATGTGCTGGAAACATTACTTCTCCATTAAGGGCATGTGTATGAACAAATTTTACTCTTTGAAAAAAAAAAATATTTACATGTTTTACTTGTACGGTCAACTGGGTGTGATATTAGATGCATGACATTAATAAAAGGTGTGATCTCTTTTGTCTTGGTTGACACAATAAAACTATATCAAGTAAACGTCATTCTATGTACTAAGTTATAAATGTGTTGTGTGTCCTCTTATTAGTACGTTAAAGTTTTCCCCATTTTGAAACCTAGCTAATTGAAGGATATCAATATCTAAACATTTGCCTGGCTCGTTTGTATCCAAGAAAGTGAATGATGAAATTAAGTTATCAAGCAAGTTCATTTGATTTGCAGTTGGTTTTTGTTCTGTTTTCTTTAGGTTATATTATAGGCTTTACTTGCTTTCCTTTAGGTTGTATTCTAGGTTTTACTGCTTTCTTTTTTTTATTGAAATAATAAAATGGGCTCTTTTCTGTTTAAAAAAATAGTTATCAAGCGAGTGAAAAAGAGTTTATTAATTCGTGGAGTAATAAAAGGATAGATGGTTTCAGAAATAAAAATTGTCACAGGTAGAAGTTGAGATTTTTTTTAATGATTTACCACTAGTAGCCCTGCACAGAAGCTGCCAAAAGTTCAAGTTGGATACATAGCCAACTTGAAACTAACCAAAGTCTTTAAATTTTTGAAGTCATAAATGTGGAGGTCATGTTTACCTGGGCTGCTTATGTCTCTTACTCTGCCAAGTCAGGAGGACCTAAATATTTACTTGAATCTGCATGAACAATACGCGGTGTCATTTATGTGGTTCAGCCTTGTATAGGTGAGATATAACGCCAATGTTACAGAAGTTTTAGATACTTTTTATTTTGTTATCATTGGCTCTTACCTTTCTAATGCTTATTTCTCACCCATTCTCCCATTAGTCAAGTTGCAACAGGTTGTCGCCTCTCCTATTTATATTGAATTGAAGGCTTGGTTCTCCTGCGGCATAGGATTTTTGATTTATTGTGATCTTCCATCTCATTTTGCTTAGCAGACATTCTTCTTTATCTCATAGTGCTTCCCATTCAATATTTAGTCGTTCCTGATATCTTTAACGCACCAGCCACTTCATTAAAATTGATTCATTTCATTCTCTATGACGTGGTTTCTGATGCTTATTGATTTGAAAAAACCAGTCATTCTTGGGGTTACATTGCAACTATTGACAGCTTTCCTCCTTTTTAGGATTTGCTTTTCAAAAAATGTTCCTGCATCTTTTGTGTTTGGGGACTCTTTACTTGATCCAGGTAACAACAACTACATTGTTTCACTCTCCAAGGCAAACTACGTCCCCAATGGAATTGATTTTGGATGGCCCTCAGGACGTTTCACAAATGGAAGAACCATAGTGGATATCTTGGGTAAGACTCGCTAACTCTTGCGTTCTGCATTTCCCTTTTAAAAAAAAAAAAAATTATCCCACTTTCAAGCCTTTGGTTGAAACTAGCAAATTAATTACTGCTTCTCTTTTCTCTTTCAATCATGTGTGCCACCAGGCCATCAATTGGGTCTTGATTTCACCCCTCCTTACTTGGCTCCATCTACGAGAGGATCAGTGATTCTTAAGGGAGTCAATTATGCTTCCGGTGGAGGTGGCATTTTGAATCACACTGGACAAATTTTTGTAAGTTTCTTCCTCAACAATGGAGGAAATAACTTGAAAGTCAAAATTTTTGTAAAATATTTGTCCCAGTATAGCTGTTTTAAGTGAATGGATTCAGAAAATAAAGAAACTCTGAGAATTTCCTTGTCATTGATAGGGTGGTCGATTAAGCTTGGATGCTCAGATAGATAACTTTGCAAACACTAGGCAAGACATTATTTCCATGATTGGCGTTTCTGCAGCTCAAAATCTATTCAGAAGTTCTATCTTTTCAGTGGCCATGGGCTCAAACGATTTCATCAACAACTATTTAGCACCTGTGTTATCAGCTCCCGAAAGGAAGTTGGTGTCTCCAGAAATGTTTGTGGCGTCCATGACATCGAAGTTCAGGCTACAGCTCACTGTAATTTTGCTCAAAACCTTGGAAACCCTTTGCTATTCCCTATTAAGACTGACCACTTGTACAAACATGACAAAATATTCAGTCTCCACTTCAAGCGTTGCCCCTGTGAGGCTGTGACGTATCCCATAGGATATGTCTCACAAGTGTCGTTGCATATATTTATTCTCTTTCTTACAAACTTGCTGATATAATTGGACATTAATTTGCAGCGACTATCCAATCTGGGAGCCAGAAAAATTGTAGTGGCAAATGTTGGCCCTATTGGGTGCATACCATTTGAAAGGGATACAAACCTAGATGCTGGAGATAACTGTGCTGCTTTCCCCAATCAGATGGCTCAATTATTTAACGGTCAATTGAAGAGCCTCGTTGCAGAACTCAACACGAACTTGAAAGGGTCTTTATTTGTTTATGCAGATGTTTATCACATTTTAGAAGACATTCTGCAGAACTACAGGGCATATGGTTCGCGTGTTTAGTAATCTTCTCATTTCTCAAGCATTGTACTTTGAACCTTTTAGGTGCTTTAACTTGTCTTCATCATGGAACAGGTTTTGAGAATCCAGATTCTTCATGCTGTCATGTAGCTGGAAGATTTGGAGGCTTGATCCCTTGCTTTCCTAAATCAAAAGTCTGCGAGGATCGTTCCAAGTATGTCTTCTGGGACGCTTTCCATCCTTCGGATGCTGCTAATGCTGTCATAGCAAAACGCCTGTTAGATGGTGATGCCAATGACATTTCGCCCATGAATGTTCGAAAACTCATTCAACCTTGATTTATTTTGGCCCTTATTGAATTGATTGATTCAACTTTTTTGAGTAAGCCTATTTTATTTAGTGTCAAAGCTAATGGAAAACATATATTTGTTATTTGTAGTTATTTTGGGGTATATTGTTGTCTTGTATTTCCTCATGTCCTTATTACAGGATGCCTTGTAGAAGGATTCCTTGGTTCTTAATATGAGACATATGAAGAATTATTTATTACCATTTTTTTAATTTTATTCTTGTTATACATTTAATTTTATAATTCATCGTATATTGTATATTTCTCTTTTCATATTTTTAATAGAGATAAAGTTGTAATTTTATTATTTTTAAAACATTTCCTTAATTATTTGTCATTCCTTAGTTCCACTTAAGAAATTGAAAATAATAGATGTTAAAGGGAGCATTTTTTCACATATTGGATATCATGCTAAACGGGTTCTTAGGCATCAAATATCTTGATATTTAGTATTATTATATTTTAAATGACACTTAAAGTTGTTGAAAATGATATAATTAGTTGAAACGTAAATGGAATTCATGAGAAGAAAACCTTGATTAGTTTTTGGGTGGTGAAGTATATCTTCATTTATGAGATGAAAGGTAGAGGTATAAATTTAATTATAAAGTACTTTTTGAGAATTACTAGATGACATATATTATGAAGTGGGGTGAAATAAACAACGAAATAAGAAAAATGTAACAACTAGTGCTTTCCGTCCATTGGGTGCAACATCCGTTTATTTTAAATTGTGGGGTTCACTTTCATTACATGTGGCTGATTCTTTTGCAGTCTATTCCCTCCATGGCCTGGCCCTCCTCAATTCTTCATTTCATTAATTATCTCTTTGCTGTTTCCTCTTCTTCCTTCAACCACGCCGGAACCATGCACCCACGTTGCTTCATTCTTTCTCTTCAACATCCCTTCCTAATCACAACCAAAATCCCATCATGTAACTCCAACAATGGCCCCCCAAATCTCTTCCCTCTGCGTCAAGCTTATTGCAACAGAGTCGTCTTAGATTTAATATTTCAATTTATGTAACAAATAAGATTGAGTAAAATAATGTGTGTACTTAAAGAATTCATGACTGAATATGAGACCTCGATTATCTTGAGTATAGATAGATACACAACCTACTGGATCCTCGTAGTTTGCAGAGAGTTCAGAGTTGATAAAAAAAGTGAAACTATTGTATGTTTATGGTTATCGACTGATCGGTTTGTATGGACTAAATCTGTAATCACTTTAATAGATAAATAAATTAATTGTCTCACATTTTCCTTGACTCAATCAGTTAAGAGATAAAAAATTATTGACAGTTATAAGATTATAGGTTAGGCCTCTGTCTATTGAGTTTACTTGTATGGTCCACCTATCTCGATTCATACAAAATCATAAAGATCAAAATGTTTAAACTTATTAATTAATGCAAGTTTATAAATAAATATTCCAACGCTTTATTCACTTCAAGCTGACCATTGCAGCTCCAGAGGCTTGGCCTTAAAGCTATAGTGGGGAAGAAGCAACTTTGTCCACTTGATACATCGCAAGCTGGCGCGAATTGCTAGACCGTGGGAGGTGACGAAGGCAAGGCAGGAGTCACGGTCAAAGGTGGGGATAGAGGAGATGAAGGTGGGTTTTAGGCTCTTGTCCGCGGTGATGGAGGGAGAGTAAGGAACAATGAAGACGCTCTCGCCAAGACGATGGTGGTGTCGAAGTTTGTCTCAGATTCTCAAGATTGAGTGAGCTGCAAGATTCTCAAGTTGAATGTAGGAAATTTTGGCAGTGTGGTGAACTCATTTAGGATTCCTCATTCCATGGGTCTAGATGTTGCTGAATTTGCAAAATACGTCTCAAGAAAGTTCTCACCCTCCATCGCTTTCACGGCTGGACGCTCTTGCAAGCCTTGAGTATGTTCTTGGGAGAGAAGTTGAGATCTGGAGAGAGAAGGGAGGAGATGTTAATGAAAGTGGAGCGCACAATTTTCTATGGCGGTCTGTTTTAAATAGTTGTTGATTTATTTTAAGCTATTCAATAATTTTTAAAAAATAATTTATAATTAAATTTATACTTTTGTCTTAAAATAAAAGCGCTTTATATATACCGATATGATGCATATTAAAACCTTTTTTTAATCACCCGAGCTATTAAAATTTTACCTACCCAAAACCTTCGAATAAACTCATTACTGTACTCTGGCAAGAGAAAATATCATTGATATTATACCTACCCCAAATCTCCTAATAAATTTATCACCAAGAACGGTACTATCATTATTGTCCCAATTTAAAAAATACAAAAAATAAAAAGTTTGTTCGTGCGGTTCGCTTCCCGTGTCTCTGCCGATCGATCTTAATTTATTTATAGCAATAAAGAATGCGGGGAGAGTGGGTGAAAATGGTTAATGTGGGATGCAAGGCTTTTCAATGTAATTTGATTCATAACATGTTCGCCCAATCCTTATTATAACACAACTCCAATCATTTTATCAGATTCAATAAATAGTTAAATTATTAATTTTGTTTAAAAATATAATAAACGTTTAATTTCACCTCTGTTTAAATATTTTTTTTTTAAATTTGCATTACAATCTCTTTCATACTTAATTAATTTAAACAGAGGTGATATTGAAAATCACGTAATGAATGTTTCATAATATGCCTTATATTAAGGATTAAAAAATGCATTTAGAAAGTACTTTATAATAAAATTCGGAAGTAATATGTCAAAATGTATGCCTGCTAGCATGGAAGATATACTAAAGTTTCTAGTGTGGTTCCAAAAGGTGGGGAAGATAGAAATAGATGGAGAAAAGCAAGAGTCAACACAAACATAAATTATAAAATTAAGAGATACTTCCTTTGAATTATAATATAGGGTATTTTTTTAAAAACTTTTTTTGGTTTAAAATATAGGACATTAAGTAACTTTTATCAATGATTATCTAACTATACTCTTATTTCATTTATTATTCTTTTTTTATAAAATGATACATTGAAATTTTAATTGTCATTATCAATACATTTATATAAAATATGTAATGAGAGTATAATTGAAAAGATGTAAATTTTTTTAAAAGAAATTTATGTTTCAACTAACATTTTTTAAGAACCAAATTAGGTACCAATGCCTTATATTATAGTCAGGAGAGTACTACTTAGATCCCGTTTGGTTATTAGAATGAAATGGATTGAAAAAATTAAGTTAAAAGTAAACTAAATCACCATTTTTTTAATGATAAATATGATAAAACTCATTAATATATACTACAAATATAAAAATTATCACATTCTCTAAAAATCTCATAAATCATAATTTTTAACTCCATAAATTATATTATCCCTCCCCCTTATAAATATGCTTACATATCCCCTTTAATTATTTTATTTTTATTTTTATTTTTTTAATCCATTTCACTTTGTAGTAAGAAAACAGGACCTTCTATATGTATGTTTGAAAATACAAGTACTTAATTAGGTCATTAGTATACTCACTTCATCTCTATATATAAAGTGTTTGTAATCGAATGCACTCTCGGACCCTATATAAAATATTTTTAACTGAGTCATGCAAACTAATAAAAGTAAGTTATCTAATTAAAAGTACGATATTTCAATTTTGTCCCTAATTATTATAACTAAAAAAATGAATCTCTTTTTTTAAAGCAAACTAATAAGAGTACTTTTTTTTAATTTAATAAAGGTATAGTGATCCATTCATTAAAATATATGTTAACAATCTCTTATATTTAGGGATAAAAAAAGATTTTAGAAAATTTTTTATATATAGGAACAGATGGAATACTGCATATTAATAAAAGTATGCTATTTAGTTGAAATCATATAAAATTATAATGATTTTTTAGGTTTGCCCCTGATAACATCACAATTAATATCATGGTGTGGTGGTGGATACAACATATAATTAATGTCTCTTTCATTTTTCAAGACAGGAGTAAAATTATTTAATTATTTAAAAATATCATGAAATCTCTTATATTGATAGAAAAAATAAATTTTTAAAAAATACTTTATATATGATGAAAGTGGGAGTAATTTGGAAAAACAACTTTTGAAGTTGTCTATTTCCTAATTTACAAATTTCATGAAGTAAAGAAATCGAAGAGTGAAAGCATGCAGGATTAAATCTTAACGGCAACTGGGCTACAGTGTCACAAAACATAGGCAAGAGTGGTTAGATTTGGAGAGACAAGACAATTATTGTGTCCTAAATTCTAGTCCTGGGACAACTGAAAAGGAAAAGGACGAGCACTAAATCACACATCATCCACTCCTACTCACAAAATAACTTCAGATCACAGGATCAACATACACCACAAAACTCACGACTCACAACACATGCTATGTGTGAATCACTTGCCCATGCACATCCACATACATCAAGTAATAGCAGCGAAATGTTCCAACGCCTCCACAGTCATGTCTGAATCAGCTGTTCCATACTTGCATTCTGCAAAACCTATCAATCATTCGTTGTTATTGAAAATGAATGAGAACAGAAATGGGAATGGGAATATGAATGAGAATAAGTCTTGGTTGAATATAATAATTTTATGGGAGAATGATAATAAAGTCTTGAAATGGAGAATTTATATTGCAAATATAGACTCAAATAGTTGGAAACAGATTTTCAATTACAATTTGAGAGTTATATCTAAAATTTAAATATCTTATTTATAATTAAAACTTTTAAATTTATAACTATTTGAATTAATATTTACTGATAATTTGATATAAATTTTTGTTAAGAATCTAACTATCATAAATTTATTATTTCTGAACTTTAACATCATTCTCCCTAATCATATTTAGTATTTGTTTGGGATCATATGTAGTTGGCCCAAAACTTAGATTGTGAACTAAAAAGCTAGTTAGAAGTTTAAAAAAAAGAATCATGTTTGGGTAAAAATAATTGGTAAATGATTTTTTTCCCAACTATAGTTAGGATGAAAATTAACTTTTGAAATCTAACTTAAATTAGTGTGAGTGATAAGATCGTTACTTAAATAAGTGGCTGAGATTTAAATATCAATCCTAACATAGTTGACAGTTTGCTATCAACAAAGCCTACTATACAAAAAATAAATTTTGAAACTTTTGGATCCTTACTCATGTTACATGTAACCATTGATATTTATTAATACATTTTTAAAAATTTCTTCACCTTTTCCAGCCAAAAAATAATGAATTTACCT